GCAGGAAAATAAAGCAGACATATAAAGCAAGCATAATAAGCCTTAAATAAGCAATGTAAAGCATAAGTTGAAACTGTTATTTATCTTTGTTGAGGATGGTAGAGACAGTCTAGGGTGGCAAGTTCAAGTCTCTCCCACTCTTTGCTGGTCCATTACCACTCTTTTTATACCTTATCACATCACATCATGCTGCCCCTCTTGGGGGCAGCACAATAGGAAGTATCACTGGGGGCATTTAGGCATGATTGCGTAACACACGAAGTCGGAAATAATGAAAGAAACATGAAGTCGGAGTCACTGTTAAGTGTAAACAAGAGCAGAGAGGTGGAATGGGTCGGAGGCAGTGTCCAGAGCCCTCTCATGCAACTGCTACTGCCCGCCAAATTCAGAACTGCCCTGTGCTCCTCCCCCAATTGTCGGATCAATGGGATATCAACAAAACGTGAGGGGTATTTCCCCAATACGGTATGTAATTGTTGGTAATGCAAAGCAGAGGTTAATGGGGTTTTGCTTTTCAGGGTAAACCTGTACTGAGAGCAATCACATACTGTATGTGATTTATCCAATTTTCTAAATGAAGGCTTCCCCCCTCCCCCTATGCACACAATGTAATGAAAGAGCCATTTCTGTGCTAAAGTTCCTGAAGTAAATTATGGTTCAATTTAATGGTACTGTAAACAGCCAGATATTACCGGTATGTTAAAATTCCTTACAAAATAGTACAGTATTGGTTATTGCTTATACAATACAGGTAGTCTTCGACTTACGACCTACTCGACATACGACCATCCGGACATATGACCGCCTCTGTCGTACCAAAAAGTTTTCAAACTCTGTACGTATTTTCTAGGACCGAAACGTTTCTGTCCCATACGCGAGCGTCGTGTGGGCTGGGTCGCCTCGTGGCTACAGCACCCAATCCATAGCGCGCTCAATTGGTGTTTGGCTGTCATTGTTGTCGGTAGTGATCGCGCCGTGTACTGACAATATTTTCGTTTCTAATTCACTTTAGAATGACTGGAAAGCATAAAAGTGAGAGTTCTGGTGGTGCTCAGAAGAAAAGGAGACAGTCAATTACAATTGAGATAAAAATGAAGATGATAATGCAATATGAAAATGGAAAAATGGTAGCAACCATTTCACGCGACCTAGGCTTCTCTCACTCAACGATATTGACAATTTTGAAGGACAAGGAACGAATTTGTGAGGTAGTGAAAGGATCAGCACCTATAAAGGGAAAGATAATAAATAAAAAAGACAAGTTCCTATTCATGAGATGGCAAGAAGCCTTTTCGAAAGCCTGAAGGAGCAGGCAGGAGATGAGAGCGACCAAACCTTCATAGCAAGTCATGGGTGGTTACAAAGGTTTAAGAACCGCAACAGTTTGCATAGTGTAAAGGTGAGTGGAGAGGCAGCAAGTGCTGATGTTGGTGCTGCCGAAGCATTTTAGGAGGAGCTAGATCGTGTCATCGTGGAGGGAAATTATTTGCCTGAGCAAATATTCAATGTGGATAAAACTGGCTTATTCTGGAAGCGCATGCCAGAACGGACATACATCCACAAAGAGGAGAAAACCATGCCGGGATTCAAGGCATTCATGAACCGAATCACACTTCTGTTGAGGGGGAATGTAGCTGGTTTCAAGCTAAAGCCCTTCATGATATATCATTCCAAGAACCAAAGGGCTTTTAAACATGTCAGCAAGCACACACTGCCAATGTTTTATTGCAGTAATAAGAAGGCATGGATGACCCTAGCACTGTTTGAGGATTGGTTCATGAATTGTTTCATTCCATGAGCCAAGGAGTACTGTCTGCAACACGGGGTTGCGTTCAAGATTTTATTAATTTTAGATAATGCTCCGGGACACCCACCACACCTGGACGACCTGCACCCTGATGTTAAGGTAGTTTACCTTCCACCTAACACTACCTCAATCATCCAACCTATGGATCAAGGTGTTATTGCTGCTTTTAAAGCGTATTATTTATGTACGACCTTCACTCAATAGCGCTCAGGCTATTGCTGCTAGTGAAGGTGAGAAAACGCTCAGAGTTTTGGAAGGATTACAACATTTTACAATGTACAAAGAACATAGGTGCAGCATGGGATGAGGTTACAGGTCAGTGCATGAATGGAATATGGAAGAAGGTCCTGAAAAGATATGTGAACAATTTCAAAGGATTAAATAAAGATGAAGCGATTTCTGAGATTAGTAACAAGACAGTGCAGATGGGTAAACAGCTGGAGTTAGAAATTGATAATGAAGATGTTGACCAGTTGGTGGAAAGTGTAGCAGAAGAGCTAAGTAACGAGGATCTTATTGAACTAGATGCACAGAAAATTGCAGAGGAAGAAGAGAGACAAAATGTAGAAGAACCTGCACCCCCAAAAAGTTTTCAGTGAAACAAATGGCAGAGGCATTTGCTACTATTAATAAGGGGATACATATGTTTGAAGAAATGGATCAAGATGTTGAGCATTTTGCAAAAGTTGACAGACTGATCCAAGATGCACTTGCTTGCTACAGGGAGACTTACAATGAAAAGAAAAGGCAAACTGTGCAGTCTAAATTGGACATATGTTTTAAGAAGTCCCCCACTGCTGTCTCCTCATGCCCCACCAGTGCTGCCTCTTCACTCCCTAAAGATGATCCAATACCTTCAACAAGCAAGTATGTTAGCCTGTCAGAAGAAAGCGACGTTGATGACCCACCCAGCCCTGCCTCCTCCTCTGCTTCATCCAATTAATGTAGTCTCCATGCTTAGTTAAAAAATTATTGAGGCTCCTTGTGCATTCAGCTGACTACATTAAAGGTAAGTGCACAGTAACACTGTTATCCCCCCCCCCCTCCCCATCGAATCCCCTCTCTTCTCCCCCACCTTTCCTTCAGAGGCTTGGTCTTTGCATATACCTGTACCTAATATGAATTTCAAAGAGGCTGTGATTCTAAAATGCTTTACATAATTCCATCTTTGATAGAAAGCCTGTATCTATACATATGTGTGATATTGAGTGTATTTAAAATTCTACTTAAATAACTAAGTACCACTGTCCCCCTCCCAACTCCCGCCAATGTTAAATGGTGCGAAAAAATTCAGCCACTATTCAATTAGAATCGAAAGATGACATCACCACAGACACACCCCAATTAGAGGGACAGTTCACGGTGAGTTTTAGTCAGACTCAGTCACTATAGAGGCAACTCCTCAATTGAAGGTGCTTGATAGCTACTTGGCATGCCCAGGGGATGGAATGGAGTTACTGAGGTCTTTCTCGACATTATGCGACTTATCTCTCCAGCTTCACACTACACTACCTGCATTTGCTGCTTGTAAGTGTCTGTTTAGTCATGTTGGGCTTATTATTTATTATTTAATTAATTTATTACACCCCAGGGGGTGCCAAGTCTAGTCACATGACCATGCAGTCAGACACTAATACATTTGTACACATGTCTCACAGGACACATAATGACTTGTGATATGGAGACAATATTGATTTGATTTAAGGACAATGGGAGTTAGCACCCACCAAAGCATGGGTAGCATACAAGAATTAAATCTAAATTATTACGGACAAGTAGGGGGTGACATGTAGTGGTTAGTGACTTGTCCTGTGGTAGGAGATCCCTGACAGTGGGACAGTCAAGGTAATAGTGTTGAAGGGTGTTAGCATTGGGACAGTTACAGTTTACAGGAAGAGAAATGCAGGTCATCCCCACCTCAGATACTTACCAGATGCGTCTATATTCTAACCTAATGCGCAGAGACAACATTATGTCTGCGAACATAAGTCCACGTCAACGATACTTGTGTGGATAAGGAAGAAAGTGATCATAGTGTTAGATGGATATATTTTCAGCCCGTTCACTATCCCTGCGATGGATTGTAGGGAGAAGAGCTGCTCAACGTATTCTCTTTTGGTAGGTCGTACTGGGCTTATATTTAGGCCTAAAAGATCCTGATAGAACAGTTATAATTTTGAGAATCAGTTATTGATTCATCTCAACAGAAAGATTTGCAAATAAACATGTGTAATGTTGTGTCTTACTTTTATCTTAAATTTTTATTTTTTTTTGCTATGGACTTATTTTAATATTTGAGATAAATTAATAATTTTGTTGTTACTTTTTACTTTCAGTACTTGAGTACTTTATGGATGAGATACTTTTTTACTTCTACTTAAGTACATTGAACTTTGCCAATGTAACAATACTTTTACTTAAGTAACAAAGTTTGGTACATTTTGCAACTCTGACTGTACATTAATAATGAATAACTACAAAATACAAAGTACTGGATCATGTGCACTTAACCTCATGGGTTACACACTAATATAAGATCATGCCTCATCAGTATTATGGTCAAATTATTGTCTTGGGTTGGATCAAATTGCATCAATGAATGGATTTTGATTGATTACAGAAATACTACTGTTAATGAAAGGTAACTGTATATTTTCCAGAGTTATGAGAATTATATACTAAACTGTAAGAGCAGAATCAGTGTTGTTGTTTTAAGATAGCTCATCTTATACTGCAAACAGCCATTTCAGATCATACTCAGTTTTCTAACAAAAATAAATTTTGTGGTAGTAAGTGCAAATTCTATTTAGTTTAATATTAGAATACAGTTGTGATGTTACCAACCTTACTACAAGGACTCAATACTGGATAAGAAGACCAGAGATGTGTTAGTTAACACCGTATACCCCCACTGGCTGCCAGGCAGGTTTAGATCACAACTATATGACTCTTTTGCCTTATTTAATGATGGTTAATTAGCAGGAAAACATTTTAATTTTATGAATTGAGAAATCTAGTAATGAGTGAAAGTACACTATAGGTGTTATTACAGCTCCTCAACATAGCACAGTATCCAGATATAATAAAGTAGACTATGAAAAAAGGACCTGTATGGTCTCAAAATCTTGGGGTACAGTATTCACAAAATCTCTATTCATGAAAACTATTTCAACACATCAATATGAGTTCATACCTGCCATCTGACACTGCTACATTGTCCACTAACTGAGTTGTTGATGGCACCGTGATTGTGGACGTACTGGCCAGTCAAAATGCTCGACCTAGGATAAGAAAAGTAAGTAGTATATTAGTATGCACAGTGATTTGATATGAACTGCAGTGTGAATCAGTATGGTGGCTAAAGATTCACTTCATATAATAACTTGGTAAACTGAGAAAATGAGGAAGTATGCTGTCTCCACCCTTTACTGTCACTTGTATCACCCCCCTTTCTTTGCAGTTTCTGTATCCTTTTATTCACCCCCAACACATATTGGAAGAGGTTGAAAAATAGCTGATACATAGTTATATTTAGAAATCATTATTATTCAGGGTTATCGTGTGTGTGTGTCTACACTATCTGGCCCTCTCCCATATTAGAAGTACAGTACAGTACATCGTCGTATAACGTCGTCCCGCTTAACGTTGTTTCGGTACTACGTCGCTAAACTTTAGAGACCAAAATTTCGTTTAACATCCCGGTGATCCGATACTACGTCGTTTTGCGTGGTCACGGACTACTTTTTACGGAGCATCACCCGCTCTTGTCTGGCCGCGCTACACTCTCTTGGCTCGGCGCGCTGCCCTCATTTATGGAACATCACAGCGTCCTCAAGTGACGCCAAGCCAGTCTCTGTTACGACTTCACATCATTCATGTGTGCGTAAGTGTTTTTGCTCTAAAACTCTACTCTAACCATTCAAAATAGCTTCCAAGCGCCCATCAAGTGCTACTGATGCTAGTGTAGTGAAGAGCAACGTAAGACCATTGCCCTTGCTACGGAAATGGATGTATTAACCTGATTTGAAAAAGGGGAAAGTGCTGTGGACATAGCAGCTGTGCTTGGTCTAACCCCCACAACGGTGTGTACTATCCAGAAAAATGCTGACAAGATTAAGGTTAGTGCTGGAAGTGGTACTACTCTCAATGCAACTAAAACAACTCGTACTATTGAAGTCCTGTGATAGAAAATGTGGAAAAGATGCTGGTAATGTGGATGGAGGACCAGAAAAATGCAATGCCCCTGTGAGCCTTTTGGTTATCCAGCATAAGGCCAGATCCTTGTTTGACGACATGAAGGAAACAGAGGGTTAAGGATCGAAGGAAGAGACCTTTACAGCCAGCCGAGGATGGTTTCAATGATTTAAGCGTCGTTATAACTTCCATAACATTAAGATGACCGGTGAAGCTGCCAGTTCAGATACGGTTGCTCCTGAGACATTCCCGACCAGAATTCAAACGGATTATCCAGCAAGGAGGCTACTCACCGAGGCAAGTCTTCAAAGTGGATGAGACTGGTCTCTTTTGGAAGAGGATGCCTGAGAGGACCTATATCTCCAAGGAGGAGAAAAGAGCGCCAGGTTTTAAAGGGGCAAAAGACCGCTTTATTGCTGCTGCTTGGCGCGAACGCTGCTAGCGACTTCAAGCTGAAGCCTATGCTGATTTGTCGCGCTGCCAACCCCCGGGCCCTGAAAGGTTACTCTAAGGATCACCTTCCTGTCATTTACAAGGCAAACAAGAAGGCATGGATAACCGGCGCCATATTTAACCAGTGGTTAAGCATGTATGCCATCCCTGCAATGAAGGAATACCGTGCCAAAGAGAACCTTGACTTCAAAATTCTTCTGACTGTTGACAATGCTCCAGCTCATCCTCCCAATCTCGACGACTTGCATGACTGTAAAAGTTGTATTCCTGCTTCCCAACATGACAGCACTGATGCAGCCTATGGACCAAGGCGTCATCGCCACATTCAAGGCGTATTATTTATGCCGTACCATGGCCCAGCTGCTCAAGGCTACAGACAGAGAAAATAAACCCACGATCTGAGAATATTGGCGTGGCTTCAACATTCTTCATGCAATTGACAACATTAGCAAGGCATGGAAAGAGGTTTCAGAAAGTTGCCTGAATGGTGTGTGGCGTAAACTGTGGCCCGAGTGCGTCAACAGTTTTACGGGATTCACGGACTTAGTCCCAGCTGCGAATACGGATATCCTCAGCTTGGCTAGACAGGCAGGCTTTGATGAGCTGGAATCAGAGGATTTTGAGGTTGTCCTGGCATCCCATACAGAGGGGCTCACCAATGAAGATCTGCAGCAACTAACAGAACAAAGTCCCGTTGAAAACGACGACGACGAAGAAAAACCTCAGCGAACGCTAACTTCCAAGAGACTGGCAGAATCGTTCAACATGTTCCAGCAAGCAATGCAAATCCTTATAGCTGACGACCCAAACAGAGAACATAGCTCAAAGGTTCAACGCAGCATTGATGACAGTTTTGGTTGTTACACGGAGATGTATAAGAAGAAGAAAGAAGAGTAGCACCAAGCAGTCAACACTGGATTAATTTGTTCGTCACAGGACGGCAGAGGCAGCATCTTCACAACAGCCGACAGACGAGGAACACACAGCAACCGAGGAGGAGCACACAGCAACCGAGGAGGAGCACACAGCAACCGAGGAGGAGCACACAGCAACCGAGGAGGAGCACACAGCAACTGAGGAGGAGCACACAGCAACCGAGGAGGAGCCAACAACAAAGGTGGAGGAGCAAATATCAACGGAGGAGGAGCAGGAGGAGGAGGCAGCTGCAGAGTCTCAGTGACTCACCACCCTCCTCCTCTCCCGCCCTCCTCCACTCCCACCCTCCTCCTCCGCTCCCACCCTCCTCCACCACTCCCCCTACCCTCCTCCTCCGCTCTTGTCATCCGCCTCCTCCGCTTCACTACCTACCACACACTTGCTCTACCACCTCCGCCCATCGGTGAGTATCAATACAAACTTAGTAGCTCTATATATATATGTGGGGTATGCTATAACGAACGTAATTGGTTCCAGAACCTCGTTCGTTATAGCATTCGTTCGTTATAGGATTAATCCGTTCCGGACCCCCAAATACAACCACTTAACACTGAAAAAATTCTGTGGAAAATGTAAAAAATGCGGTACTTTATCTTACCTTAGTGTTATTCAGCATGCAGGTACCCCTAAACACTGGCACATCACTATCACTTCCACTGGGAGTCTTGGCTTTAAGGTCCTCAAACAATTGTTTAGCCTTCTCACAAATTATAGCTTCACTAATGTTACCACCTGCCATTTCTTTCTCCTTTATCCACACTAAGAGTAAATTTTCCATCTCTTCAATCACATTACACCTTGCTTTGCTAAGTCTAAAGATTCCCTTAGCCACTTGCACAGTTTTTAACTCCTCTTTATTCTTCAAAATCGTACATATAGTCGATTTAGCCATCCCATGTTCATCACTAAGTTTCGCAATGCTTCTTCCATTCTCACGTTTCTTTATAATTTCTTTCTTAGTTTCAAGGGTTATTAGCTTTCTCACTCGCTTTGGACGACTCATTGTTACAATTGTATACTTGTATAACAAAATAGTTATACAAATAATGCGAATTTCCACATCAAAAGACGAAATTTCAACAATAACAGTGGTGCACTGGCTACACAATGAGACAAAGATGGCGCCTGACGCTCTTGTTGTGGGTCGCGGTACAACAATATTCATGCGCCAGGCGAAATAGTCCCGTATTCATCCGCGTTCGTTGTAGGAGTTGCGTTCGTTATAGCATTCTCAATTTTATAGGTAAAACCGTTCGTTATAGGAATACTCGTAGTAGGATCCGTTCGTTATAGCATACCCCACTGTATATATATATATATACCCTGTATACTATTTTCTATACAAATGGCTATGATTTTCTGTATATGTATGTCATGGTTTTAGGTTTTCGTAGTAGTAGTCAGAGTGGATTATATTATATAAAGATGATAATATGTCGTATTTCTTATTTCTTACCGTAGAGTTCGATACCTTCACACTGGTTACTTACAGGAGATTATGGCGTATCTACGTAGAAGTTCACTCCACCACTCAACATTCCATGATTATACTTGATAAATGATGATTTAATGAATTCCATTAATTTCCAACATCCATCTAAGTTATTGGTTATACTTTGTCATAACCAATCAGTCATTACCTTTAGTAATAATAAGATAGGATCACAGATACGGGCAGATAATTGCACTTACATTTATTTGTCAAGCTTCCATACAATGATTTACAATTTGCATGGATATATGATTCACTCACGTTCACGCTGTAATAAAATTAATCTTCTAAAAGAGGGAACTTTCAACTTGGGGACACATGTGATTACTCTACTATGGGTATGACTTAACAGAGCCTTAATTCTTCAAGTGATACATTTACTGCCAGCCTGGATTGCTTTTGTTGCAACCAGGCTTCCACACAAGACTTATTTCCACTGCAATAACAACAAAAAGTACTCTTGGGTTACCACACATAGTCTCGCGCCACTGACAGTCACTGTAGACGGTTGTCGCGGCAAGGAGAACTGGTAAGCGTGACTTGAATTAACCATTTAGGTGCAATAGACCAGCCTGGATTGCTTTTGTCGCAACCAGGCTTCCACACGTGATATTTCCACAGGGATAACAAACCTAAGTTAACACACTTAGTCTCGTGTTGATCACTGTCACTGTAGACGGGTGTCGTGCAGGAGAACTCTAAGCATGAATTGATTAACCATTTACTGTAGGTTTGAAAGGCCAGCCTGGATTGCTCTTGTTGCAACCAGCATCCACACGTGATATTTCCACGGGGATAACAACCTAGGTTAACAGGCTTAATCTCGTGTCGATGACGGTCCACAGGGCGGAGTGGCGGTGGAGGACTCTATGTGGTGTGGTGTCCCGCTCCCTTCAGGAGGGAGAGAATGGGAGCGTCTTAACTAACCCATGGCCAAGGGGATACTACTTAAAATGAGGTTTTTGGGTGTGAAGTGATGAACAGTACAACATTGTCTACTGCCCCCCCCCCCCAAAGGCTGGCAAACATACCACTAATGGAAAATATATGTCCCAGTTATGCCTCGCCAGGTGCCTTATCTCTAGTAAAACAAACTTTCGAGTTGGTTGCGTGGGTAAGCCTAACGCAACCCATGACAATGTAATGTATTTCATGGGGCAAAGGGAGGCTCAGGAACGTAAATCCTGTATTTCATCTATTTCTTAA